GGGGGGGGGGGGGGGGGGGAGAAGCACAACCATCTGCGGCTATGGTCATCTGGTGGACCGTTGGCCAGGGTTATACTTTCTTGACAGAGGAAAGCAAGAGATTGATTTCCGGCACCGTTGGCTCGTGGCTAAACAGTGAAATCAAGGAGGGAAGGAGCTTCATGTGCATGAAAAGGGGGGTGGATCAGCTAGGTTGATGTCGTTGTTAAAGACAGGTATGGTGCGGTTCCGTGTTCATGGTACGGTATAACATGGTGCCGACGTAAGACGCATGTGTAGACCGGATCTGCTTCCCTTTGGTCCTTCTTGGTACTCTCGAGAAGTGAGTCCCCGTATTTAGGGGCTCGTTGCTTCTTGCCGTTTTGGCATTTTCATGTGTGGCTGTCCTGTTCTTCATCGTCCTGGTCCAAAATCCAAAATGGATATATAGCGTGGGCGAGGCTTACGACTGAGAACGGACAGGTCAGGTCACACCGCGTAAGTGGCGGGAGCGACTGGGTTTGCTTCCGGTGGCGCTGGCCTGGTGTTCGCGTGATCATAAAAAGTAACATGGATTTGTCAAGAAGCACGAGCTAATAATACATGCCAGTTAGAGTCAGCTGCAGATAGTAGCTGCTTGTTGCCCAGCAGAAGAAGGAGGGGAGCGCGGCGACTTGACAAAATAGATGAATGGTTTTCATGCGTGCTTGTATGTTGTTCTTTCGGCCGCTCGCACACAAGACAAGGCAAGAGAGTGAGGACTTGAATTTTCGGCGGGAGTGGGAGTATGGTACACTTCAGGCAGGCCTCTACGTTCGTTTGCATGCAACTTGTGTACCAGCGATGATCAAATCAAGCTCTTGACGTGAAAGTTGGGTGTGCTATGCCTCTTGTACATGCGTGTGGGGGGGGGGCTTGTGGGACGAAGGCAGGGGGCAGAAATATATCGACCGGCATGCATGCCTGGATATATGGCCTCCTCGTTGGAAGTTGGAAGATTTGCTGTTCAAGAGGACTTGATAGAGTGGAGGTTTATGTGGTGAGGTGCTCTTTCCCGCTGCGACACAAGCGGAGCGGGCCAGTGGGGTGGTAATTGATACTCGTTTTGTTTTTTTGTTGGCACCTTGGCGTAGAGATGACGGTCCTAGGGAACAACAGGCAGGGCGTTTAGGATATAAAGATTTCCGTATATATATACGATGAGGCTGCATTTATGTATTGATCACATCGGTTCACGTCATCAAGTCTCACCGCTCGTGAAGGATTCGTTCAACCTTTGCGCGTCGTTCTTCGACCAACAACGCTTGAAGCAAGCGTGGTTGGTGACAACAATACGACATACATCCACTTCTCACCTTGATTTGCTTGTCTTGAAGGTTTTTCAACACATTTCGTCCTCGTCGTCGTCTCTTCAAATCAGCGCTTGCGTTCGTGCTGCTTACTCCAACCTGCGGTCACACAGAAGGGCTCCTCTCCCTTAGACCCCTAACCACCCCTCCTGTGGTATTGCTTTGCGTTCAATTTTTAATGCGCGTGCAGCACTCTCAATTCCAGATACTTCGATTTATTTTTTTGACTTTGATCCAAGGACAAGACGAATAAGCCTGCATTCTTGGATTGAATCATGCACACCACACCACGTCATCGGTATTGCTGTACTGTACTACAGGCGTACCGGGCGACCGTCGGCAATAGAAAAGGCCATCCGTCAAAAGTGAGGTTTCAACACAGCGTGTTTGAGGACAGCAGTCGGTCTGTTCTGATATCCTGATGGGCCAATTTTGTTGTCTGTGAAGTCCATCGAAAGCAGTAATTCTCTCCCTGTGTCTCCACCAGACTTTCGCATACGGGCATGATATTATTTGCTGACAATTGTTTCCCCATGCATTCCGCGTGCCTCACACCCCCCCGGTGTTTTGCCATCGGGGTTGGGTTTTCGTCGCTTGGCAACGACGTTGGAAAACAAGCCAACTCACTTCGTGAACTCGGCAACCAGGTTACCAGTTTTTTTTTACCTCTGCTTTTTTTTTGGCGGTGATCATGATGGTGGTTGAGTAGATCATGTTGTGCGGGGTCGAGAACCCTCACTCCGCGCAAGGAGGATGATCGCTCCAGTTGTGTTAAAATGGTCAAGCACCCTCGAGGCAGTTACACAGTGCGTAGGGTTTTTATAACTGTCTCTGGAAGTGAAAGCACCAGACAAAAAAATAAGTCATACGCAGCTGTCATCCGTACGCATGGAAGTAAGCACAAGATGCCGAACACCCTTAGCAGGATGCAGCGCACCCTTCATGCGACTCGCCGAATATCTCACGGCGCTTCGCGCTTGGTGATGTGAGAGCCTGGTCCGGTGAGAANGCGGCATGCACCACTATGAGCACACACACACCCCTCACCCCCCTTCACCTCACATTGTACAGCAGTTTCATATATATATATACATAATCTGACGCGAAAGATTGTTTGACTGACGAAATATGGCACATATGCATTTCGTTGTTTAGGTGGGGCACAAGAAGTAAACCACTGGCCAATCAGAAAGCAGGAAGGAGGCGAAGTGCGGTTGTTCCCTGGTGGTTTCAGCCGCGCGCTTCGTTGTGTTGACCGGGTGTAGTCGAGCGAGTGCAAGCGTGTAGTGGTGGACAAGGGTGTCTTGGCGATGAAGTTTCGGAGGCAACCTGACTCCTCCCACGTTGTAGTCTCCTTGAGTATGAAAAGATTGATACTTCATCGGATCTCGCTAACATTTTCCCGCTCTACTCCCTGTCTGTGCCTCGGCGCGCAAGAAAACAAACATATGTACAGTAGACTAATACGCAATGCTGCCCGAGGGAGACTTGAGTATCAGACGACACATGTATTCGTCACGGGGGGAAGGAAGATGACTAATTGATGAACACTCCAACTTGCCTTCTTCGCCACCTGTTGGTGTTGAGGGGAAAAAAAAAAACACCTAGATGGAGGAGAAACAAGAAACATTAAACTTCTGAAGCTCTTCTAGAGGAGACCCAGCCCTCCTTTAGAAGGACAAATCGCCCCCGTCTCCTTCCACCACGAAATATCTATCAGTCCACTTCTCTCTTAAAGCTCTGCAATGCTCCCGTCGGTGCCACCGGCCGCTCCCCTTGCCTTGTTGGCCTTGTAGCTCCCGGCCAGCTTCTCCATGCCTCTCCAGTCTTGCACCCCCCTGACACTCGAGTCGAACAGGGCCTCCACGGCTGCGCTGGCAAGGGTCTCCACGTGGACAGGCCTATCGATGAACGGCAGTCCTAGGCGGCTGCGAAGAGATGGCGCATTGGGGCCCGGGAGGAGACAAGGGAACGAATTGACCATGCGTCCCCTACAAGACAGAGCACTGCTGTCGGGGGGTGGTACGTTGCTTGCCGTTATGCAGAAGCACTGGGACACGGGCTAATTCAACCAATGCTGTTGCTTACAGCAGTAGTCTGCACCCGGTTCATTCTTTCTTTATTTTTCGCCCCGTCTATCATCTATTCTGGGCGGCACCGGTCCAGTCCAGGTCATTCTCTCAGATTTATTTTTTTTTGTCTTCACTTCAAATCAGCGCTCACAGCGATAGTGCCGTTTACTCCAACCCGTGGTCACACAGAGGAGCCCCTCTCTCCCCTCCCCTCCCGCGGTACTTTGCCTTCGATTTTTAATGCGAGAAGAGTTCAGCACCCTCTTCCCTCTGTGTACACACGAACTAGCGCTATCCACTGGGTCAGGAGCGGAAGCGAGAGAAAAACTCACTTTGCCAGAAAAGCTCGCTTACGCCGGGATTCCAACCCCTGACCTGACCTCTAGAAGGTTTCGAAGATACCAACTAGACCACCGGGGCGACCGGCTCTCAGTATGTGTACTACTGTATGACGACGGCGCAACATCCAGGGACACAGGCGTTACACTACGCTACACACACTACCGTAGGTCTCATACGTAGGATAGCAGACCGCCTTGGGCCTAGGGTTGTTTTAAAGCTCGATTGGTCCACGACGACGAGGATGATGAAGTCAACCGACAATGATCCATTTCCAGAAATCCTCTTGCCGAAACGGTTCCGACGCCGACGTTTTCGGCACCATCACTTCATCATTTCCTTCCGAGTATTCATCCTTTCAAAATCGGGCCAGGGGGTGTGATGCCGTATGTCATGTCACCTACGGTACACTACACCGCGAATGGAGGCGTGTCTGGCCGTCTGACCTACCTGCCGATTTGGAAGGCGGCCACGGGTAGAAGCGCTCCCGGTCGTCGCTTTGTCCACACAAGGCTAGGTCTGAGGACGACCCCTCTGAGCGACGGCTTGTTGTTGAGCAACTGCGATGGAAGAGGTACGAGACAAGGTGGACAGAAAAGGGTACAACAGGGGTATGCGGTCGTCGAAGAGGTCTCCCGTTCTTGAGAGGAGAGGGCGTGCGTGGAGAAAACAGAACAGAAATTGTTTCTTGATTCACGGCAGCTACTGCTGTACAACCGAAAAATCGTCAAAGTTGACAGAGAGAGCAAGCACAAGGGATCCTTGGGACGGTATCCCCAACCACTCACACTACCCACTCAGCCCAACAAAGTGAAAGTAGAGGGAACCATGGTGCCTGGTAACTCTGGAGACCACGAGGCGCAGCGAAGAGCACTGGCTTGGACTTGAAGAAAGCGAGAGCCCACCTCATGCATCACTGGAAACACACAAGGCAACAGCCCAAAACAGCAGCAGTAGCAAACAACAAGAACAGCAGCAGCAGCAAACAACAAGAACAGCAGCAGCAGCAAACAACAACAACAACAACAGAGAGACATCTTACCTCGTCCTCAACAGCTCGTTTGGCCACGAGGTAGTCGTGAAGAAACCCCACTGGAGACCCCTCGAAAATGCCGTCGAAACCCCACTTCGCCTCCGCCGCGGAGATGAACACGAAAGGCCTCTGTGCAAACAACAGACAACAAACCAACCACACCGCACGGCACGGCACTAAGGTCAGGGCGTCGAGAACGAGAGCACCAATCGCCGCACAGAGGTCGACGGTCCACAGGACCACCAACTCAACACGATTGCTGTGTGTCGTGTGCTCTGTGCCGTGCATCGAAGGATGTTTGTTGTGACGCTACAAAGCTTCGACTACTCATTATCACGTGAAGCCAACTCTTGCTATCTCTATGAAGCCTGCGTATTGCTTACCACCGCTCTTCTTTTCTTAAAACATATGAAACTATCACTCCCGGTTCCCATCTACTACATTGGAAGGTCCCTTCCGACCGGGGCCCACGCAGACAATGGATCATCAGCGGTGAACGCCTCCGTCCATTCTTAAACGCAAGACGAGACACACACTCCACTGGCAACACATACACGAACAAGTCGGGTGAGTGAACCGCACGCACCTGCTGTGACCCCCCCTGGGCGAGGGCATCGAGGGCAGCCGTTGCCGCGAATGCGGTTTGTCTGGTGATCTTGTCGTAGGTGGTGCCGGGGTCGGGCACAGACCCGGACCCGCTCGCGAAGCGGTTAAGGCTGCCCGCGAAGAGCATGCCCACCGCGTGGACAACGCCGTCGTAGTCGCCTGCAGAGGTTTCGGCATCGTATGGATGCATATCGTAGCCATTGTTTGCATGCGTTTCGTTGTCAGTGTTGTTGTTGTTGCTGAGGATGTTGTTCAGAGTTGTGGGTGTTAAGAGCGGTCGAATGCGACGGTGCGGTTTCCGATGAGCTTTGCGAAGGGAACCAAATAGTTCCCGTCAAAGAGCCAGAAACTATGTCAGCGTCAGGCCAAAAGCACGAGTCTCTTCTCGCGCAGGGGGTCCTCGGACGGGATGTAAAGCAGGGGCATTGAACACAAAGGGGGAAGGGGTGAGGGGGGAGCGTGAGCAACTGCTGCGCAGGTCTGGAAGGAACATTTAGTCGAATGGCGTTGGTTGTTAAATGCCTAGAGCTTGTTGCTGTTTGTCAAGCTAAGCCAGCACTATATTAAATCTCGTATTCTCGCAATGCGTAGCACCAACTAAACAAAAAGTCTGTGGTAAATGGTAGGACACAGAACTGTTGCGGCAGTTGTTGTTGCTGTTGTTGTTTCTCACATTAGCTCTATAGTCCAAAAAATGGGAAGCCCGTGGTCGTAAAAACCTGGCACATACGACGCCGCGGGGAAACACAACAAAAATAGGGTACAAACCACTCGGAAAAATGAAAACAAAATGATAATGATAGAAAGAAGGGGACGGCTACGGCACCGACCGGTCGAGAAAAGAGCCCTCGGAAACTGATCAAAACAAAACAACACAAAAATAAAGATAAAAAGGAGGACGCTTCCCACACCCGCCTAAAAACTCAAAGGGTAACGTACCAGCACCAGGCACTACGTGCCAGCGCATGGAATATACAGGGTCGTATATAAATCGGATATGTGTCGGTGCACGTGTAACAAGAGAAAAGCGGCGTGACTTGGACGTTGACATATGGCTTGCCTCATCGAGGTCAGTCCTGATCAAATGAAGGAGAGCTGTGCAGTGTGCTAACCAACGGTCAGGTCTCTCAGGTTCGGAAACTAACAAGGGGCCTTATTAGAGGAGGAATAAAATCCCCTCGATTGGACGAGGGTTCCACATAAACTAATCGTGCTAATGGCATACTTTCTTGAACCAATGATAAGCTAAAAGCGCGACTAACTGCTGCTGACACTTGCCATCGTTGATGACCTGTCGAACCACCGCGGGGTCGGTGGCATCGCCTTTGAGGAAATTTACACCGGGTAGGGGATCGCTGTCCGGAGAGGGAGTTCCTCGTCTTGACAGTGACGTCACCTGGTGCCTCGTAAAAACAAAAAAAGACAAACACGCGGAGACAAGAGAGGGCGTTGGAAGCTGCATAAAGGCGCAAGCTGTAACGCGCGTTGCCGCCAATGAACTGTGGTGGTGCAAGCTGAGAATTGGGTCCAGCGTGAGGTTGGCTCTGGTCTGCTCCACCGCAGCAACGGCACTCCACTTGTTGTCGAGACACTTCACAGACCCCCAAGCAAGGAGGGGGTGGCGTTGGAGCCGCATCTATAATAGTAGCTACGGCACGCGTTTACAAAGGTGCCCGCAGTTTTATGATTGGTCAATTTTTTCGACAGGATTCTTTTTTTTTTCAGGTTGGCCAAATATCCCTGGTCGACATGACGTGTCATCTACGGCGGATTCACCTTTTTTCTACAAGAATCAAAGCGTTTCAATCTGACCGTGGATGATGGTGCTGTGTTCGCTGTGTGTGATTCATGATGATTGGTCAAGTTTTAAATCTATCCCCTGTTGTTGTTGGTTGCGTGAGTACGAATACAGACCAAAAACCAACTGCTGTAGCATACACTGAAATACTACACACATACCTGGTACAGCAGAAGGAGTCGGGTATATAGCCCCTGTGCGAATCTCCACCATCATCATGAAAATTCCATAACACAACAGAGACGACGGTCACCGAGCTACACACGTACGCCCCCGCGACCCCCCCGCTGTTCAAGGACGTGTGCCGCGTGCACTGATGGCGAACAAGACACGAAACGGCCCCCGGAATAGCGGTACAGGCGGAAGCCCCCCGAAAAACCCTGTCATGACTATTAATCGGTTTAAAAATAGGTCAGACTTCGAAGCGCTTGGCGAAAAGTGTATCGCTTTTTCGACCTTCACACCTACAATAGTTAAGCAGCGTGCGCCCAAAACAAAATCTACACACGTCTGTATTGTCCTTGGTCGCCCGCGAAGTTCGTTGCAAGCACTGTATCTGGCTTTCCTAGTTGAACGTGGGATTCTGGCTTGGACCCACTCCAGTGGGGGTTAGGGTTGAACAACAGAGTCACACGTCGCGGAGGACTCGGCAACAGCACCGTAATGCTATTGCTATTGTTGGCTACAGCAGTATTTCCAGCAGCGGAACATTTCATCGGGATGGTAACAAAACGTGTCCATCCAAATGTTCAGGGTTCACGGCGAAGCTTTTCGGGTCCCAACCATGCGTGGACACTTCGCGTGTTGTGCGTTGTCATGTCGAGGAACATCCGTTGTTGTCGTTAACTCAACATGTGCATGGCTCCGCCCACAACCCTCTCGCCGTCAACGTTTAAAACGTGGCGTAAGAAAGCGGTTTATGATGGTTGCATTCAATACCAGCACTAGTCTACCTCCATGACTTGTCAACGCCAACCTACTACGACGTTGATGTCACTATTGACAACATTTACAAATCGCCGCTGACTGGATCGTAGATTTCAGATTGGTCAGACCCAAACATGATTCATAATTTCCGGATCATGACAACATGACGGGCGACACTGGCTTACTCACCTCGCATCCACTGTCGACAGCGATCCGAGACACGGTGGATCCTATAAAGCCGGTCCCACCCAACACGAGGATCTTTGGGGCGAGCGCCATGGCCGTATCGCCCACCACAGCTAGGGCGATCAGCAAGGTGAGCAGCTGCATGTGGGATCGTGCCCTTGTTGTAATGTACGAATGTACAGAATTAAAGCTGGAAAAGGCGGCGGAATTACGCAATTCTGAGAACCCTGGGTTTACGCGTCCGGTGCCGCACCTAGGAGCTAGTCGGTGGGCAGAGCGCAGTACAGAGGGAATCGATTCGTTGTATTAACCCTGCGGACAAGCTTTCCTGCCCTCTAGTCAGCGGTGGTGGTTGTTGCGAGCTCGATATGCGAACCTCGGTCCAGCGGAAGCAAGCCAATCCTGGAAGGCTTTTTCGATCCAGGGGACACATGACCGCGCGCGATTCGCACGTTCGTTGTGCCGGCTCACTCTCACACTCTCGAACCAAGGCCTCCCCCTCTCTCCGACGCAGTTCCCGACGGGGGACTGACACTTCAGGAAACAAAAGGCCGCCATGTCCGGTCTTCCGCCGGATCCTCCGCAGAAAACCACGGGGGAAATCAGCAGCGTTCCCCCCAACGTTCCAGTTCAAAGAAACCCAGCTCCTCCTACTGCTCCGCAGCGTCCTGTTGTTGCTGCTGGTGGCCTCGCCCAAGCAGCAGCAGCACCACCTACAGCAGCAGGGCCGGTAGGCTACCAGCCGAACCACGTGGGTGAACAGCCGCAGGGCGACCGACGACATCTCATCGGAGTGGGTGCTGCCGTGGGCCAGCTTGGACCACCCCTTCGTGCAGCTCCGGGGGCATGGTCGTCCCATGTTGGCGATCCAAACGGGTCTCCATCGATATTGGCACCGCCGAGGCAGCAGCAGCAGCAGCAGCCTGCGATTGCTGTGCAAGCGACAGCAGTGGCGCCGGCGCCGGCGGTACGACCGGCAGCCCCTCCCGCCGCGATGAACGTGTCGACCTTGCGCCCGGGCTTCCCTTCGCAGCAGACGCCCCCTGCGCTGCCGCAGTTCGCCATGCACCCGAACAACAGAGCGTTCTTCAGTGGGTACGCGGCGTCTCTAGCCGCGGCTCATGCGGCCGTTTCCGGTGGCAGCTCGGCAGTCGTGCGCGCGCCCAACAATAACAACGCCGCGCCGCCGCCAGCGACGCCAGCGGCGGGGGGCTTCCAAGCCAAAGGAGCCCCTGCTCCGAGTCGGCCCACGGTCCCCATCGCTCCGGCTCCTGGCGGGCAACAAGTCGCGGCTGCTGCTACTGCAGCAGCAGCAACCGCATCGTCTACCAACAGCGGCAGCAGCATCGCCGCCCCTATCGCGCCGCATCCCCAAGTGCCGACTCCCGGTGGCGCCCAGCAGCCCGTGCCGACGGCGGCCACGCCGGCGCCGCCGACGCCGTCGGGTGGAGCTAGCGCTAGCTCCGCTGACCCTGCTCCTGCTGCCGCCGCCGCCGCCACTCCGGCTACGGCGGCGTGGGAGAAAACGGCGGTGGCGGTGCTGAAACCAGAAGAGACATGTTCATCAGGTGGTGATGCTGGTGCCGACAAGGGCAAGGGCAAGGATAAGGACAAGGAGAAGATGCAAGCGCCCAAGCCGAGGAAGAGGTGTGTGCGAGTGTGTAAGGAACCTCTGTCGTCATACCTCGGGATATAGATAAGAGGCGCAGGTTTTGATTTGTGACCTCGTTTTTGGGGGTCATGACGGAAAATCGGCTGTTGCATCGTTCGTTCAGATTCTCTGGTTTGGCCGCTCTCTTTTGCTCGTCGCCGTTCGCGGCGAAGGGCAGGCATAGTAAGTAATTCCGGCGCTCCTAGCTATGTAAGCCATGCTGCTGAGATTGCCAGGTCAACTAAACGGACATAATATTCCAACCGATGGATGAGGAAAGGGCGGGCGGGCATGTATCACAAGTGTTCCCTTCCCCCAAGGTTTCAACATATCATATATATGAACGCGTATTTGCATAGGGTAGGCGAACCGGAAATCACGTTTTTGACGTATTTAGTCTCCAAACTTTGGCCTTGACGCCACCAGACGAAACCACTGCAGGAGTGTTGTACATAGGAGGCACCGCTGTATGCTATCTACTCGCGTGTGCTTCATTCACATTCCCGAGCCAGCGTATCGGCGATCACCTTCCCGTAGCAGGAAGAGGGCATACCCCCCCCCCCCCCCCCCCCCCCC